CCCCCCCCCCCCCGGACCAATGGAGAAGTAGACCTTTTCCTTTACTTCAAAGATTCCCCTTCCCCTTCCAAAATTGCAACGTTTCTTGGGATGGTGCTCTTCCCTTCCCCTTTATTAATACATAATCAATGAAATCTCCCCAAATTTCTGCAAAAGTATGCCTTTTAAGCACTCCTTTCTTTACTTTAATGTTACATGTTAATTTGTCATTGATAGCTATATTCCATAACTCTGTACAGTGGACCTTGACTTACGACCATAATCTTCCAGAAGATGGACAGAACTCAAAATGGTCATAAGTCGAAGCACCATTTCCCATTGAAATGTATTGGAATGTGATTAATCCATTTCGGCTGGGGGAAAAAATCCCTAAATAAATAAATAAATAAATAAAACACTGCAAACCCCATAAGAATGCGCTGGGGCTTTAAAAAAACAAACAAACCCAAAAATAAACGGAGCAAGTCCCAAAGGCCCTGGGGCTTAAAAACACAAACAAACCAAAAATAAGCAATGGAGCAAGCCGCACGCTGGGGCTGCAAAAAATAATAAATCACCAAAAAACAAAACAACACAGCACAGAAACATAATCCCCCCCAGTCCAAATCCACCCTGCAAAACCCACCCAGAACAGTTTTTAAAATGCAAAAAGCATCACCTTACGTTACCGGGCAGTCCAGAGCCTCCCTGCAAACACACACACATTCACTCAGAAGCAGAAGCCAGGCAGTCCCAAGCCTCCTCCAATTGCACACTCTCTAACTGCTCGGGCGAAAGAGCTACCAGAAAGCAGCCTTTTCGCCACCAACAGTTAGCAATTTGAATTTCCCGCCTTTCCCCCCTGCTTTTTTGTATTCGTAACTGGAAGCTCCAGCTGCAAGTCGAAGCAAAATTTTGCAGCCAGAGCTGGTCGTAACTCAAAATGCTCATAAATTGGGATGTCCGTAAGTCGAGGCACCACTGTATATCATCTTCTTAATTGAAAATTATGTTTATTTTCCAGTATTTGGCTACAATTAATCTAGCAGCTGTAACTAAATTGGAGATTAATTCTATAGTTGTCCAATTAATATTCCACCTCATCAAATATTGATAAAAGTGCTATTTCAGGACATACTTCTACCTTTCGTTTGGTTATTTCTCTTATTTCCCCCAAGTACCAGTTTCCTGGCATACCCTCCAGCACAACATAGAGTAGTTTTTATTTATTTGATTTAGTTACACTGGAGTTAGATACCATCACCAAACCATCTTATAAAAATTCCCTTTAATTCTTATAGACATGGATTTCACTGTTCTTACATACCCTATTTTCTTCCATCTCTCAGTGTTTATCCCTTCCCTCATATTCCCATAAAGCCCTCAGAGGATCCTGTTGATTCTCTGCTTCAATTAATATTTTATAAATTTCACTAACTATACACTTCAATGCTTTATTTTCTGCTAAATTTTCCTTTTGTAGTAGCATTTCCTCAAACTTTGTAACCTCCCTATATCTACCATTTTTCCTCAACCAATCTTTTGTCCAACACTCTAATTGCATCAAACTAAACCATGACAATTTCTCCCGGCCTAATACGTTTTTTTATTTGCTCTTTACTCCCCGTCCTTTCTACCCAATCCTTAACCTGATTACTTGCAGTCCTCTTAACACACTCTCCAGATTTTTCAGATTCTTGGGAAAAGTTTCCAATTCAATCACCAAACATAATGGTGATATTAGTGGACTAAGCAATATTCTTGTAATTATTCCAAATTAACAACATATTTTTTAGGAATGGATTACTAATTATTTTACCTCTATTTTTTATATGGTTTGAAAATAATGTTCTCAATATTTAGATCTAGGTCAGTTGACTCCAAACCGCACAATTATTAGGATGTGCAATAATATCTCTGATATGTCTTAACTGGTTAGCAACATAATACTTTTTTAAATTAGGAAGTCCCATCTCTCCTACCTTCTGAGCTTTCTACCATCTCTTCTTGTTAATTCTTGCCTTTTTATGTCCATTACAAAACTTATTAATCATTAATTGCAATTTTTTTATTTACTCTTCAGGTATTCCTATTGGTAACATCCTAAATAAAAAAATAATCTTGGGTAAAATCTTCATTTTAACCGTGGCTATTTTGCCAAACCATGATAATCAGATTTTCCTGTAAGCATCCAACGTATTCTTCATTTCACATTTCAGTCTCTTTAAATTTTCTTCTCTTAATCTAGATAGATTTTTTGGGTATATATACTCCTAAATATTTGATTAAACTCCCATCCTTGACATTAAATTTTCCCCTGAATAAACCTTTTTCTTCCTTATTATAATTAAACATCATCATCTCTGATTTCTGCAAATTTACCGGTAGCCCAGTTATCTCTCCAAACTCTGCTAAATGTAATTTTACCTTATCCATCACTCTTAAGGGATTTTCTATTGATAAAAGAGAGTCATCTGCAAATAAACTAATTCTAGTCTTGTCATTGGTCTCTATGCCACAACTTAAATTATCTTTCCTAATAGCATTCGCTAACATTTCTATAACTATTGCGAGCAAAATTGGGGAAAGGGAACATCCCTGTCTAGTACCCCGGCCAAGGGATATTTGTTCTGTTAGGCCATCATTTACAATAACAGATGCAGTATTTGCTGAATATAACTGACCTATCACACCTCTAAAATGTTGCCCAAATCCTAATATTTCTATTATCATATTCAATGTCAGCCATTCCACACAGTCAAAAGCCTTAAAAATATCTAATGAAATTATACCAGCTTTCAACTTTTATTTTCCTATTATATGAATGATATTTAGAACTCTTCTTGACGAATTTGCCATTTGTCTCCCTGCTATAAAACCACATTGACCCACTTTAATATACTTAGCAATATACTTATTCATCCTATTTGCCAGTACAGTATAGCAGTAAATATCTTTGCATCTTGATTACTCAAGGAAATGAGTCTATGTGCTTCTGAGTCCATTAAATCTTTATTCTTTTTTGCCCCGCTAGACAGTTACCCCACATGACAGTTTTTTCGCTAGACATTGACTTTTTGCGATCGCTATAGTGATTCGCAAAACAGTAATTCCTATGGGGGAATTTCGCTGGACAATGTTTGGTCCCTGCTTCGCAAACCAATTTTCGCTAAATGATGATTTTGACAGCTTCCTCCACGCTCGTAAAACAGATGTTTTCGGGACCTAAGCTTCGCAAGACAGCGATTTAAACAGCTGATTGGCGGTTTGCAAAGCGGCTTTCCTATGGCTGATCTTCGCTAGACAACAACGATTCTTCCCCATTGGAACGCATTAAACAGGTTTCAATGCATTCCAATGGGGAAATGCTTTTCGCTAGACAATTATTTCGCTAAACAGCGATTCCAGTGGAACGGATTATCATCGTCTAGCGAGGCACCACTGTAATTAATGAATGCTTCCATGATGCGGGAATTGCATCTCCCTTCATTATATTATAGATAGTTTCTAATTTGGGTAACAGCATCATTCTGAATGTCTTATAATATTCTGGTCTTAACCCATCAGCTCCTGGTGTTTTGCTCCATTTTAACTTGTTAATTCTTCTATTTCTTCCTTTCTTATAGGCTGTTCCATTAAATCTCTATCTCCCTCTTGGAGTCTGGCCCCTAAATTTTTCCCAACTTAATTCCTCGCACTTTCCTTTATGGGTTTGCCCTCATTCCCATTCTAGACTCTTCAAATCACGCTGAACCTTCTGGAAGAAGAGGGTAACTTTTCTCCCCCCCTTCTTTTTACACAGCCGAAACCATTCCTTGTTAATTAGTTGCATGAGCAATCTTGTTGATTCTCCTCTCTCACAGTCATAGTGGCCAGATGGTATGGCCTCCCAATTAACTGGCACTCTCCCCCCCCCAAACTGGCTTATCGCAAGCACAAGCTAACAGACCTGTGTTTTAAAAGGGAAACAAAAACCATGATCCCCTATTTTCTCTTGAAAACCAACATCTTACAAAACCTGTATTTTCAGAAGATTACTATTCCTATTATTTTGCATGGCTGATGAACTCATGCTATAAGCAAGACACTTGAAAGGGATCCCATACTCACCATGGCTACTTGACTCAGCATGTTAAAATATACTTTTCCTCCTCAAACCTGTTTGCAAATATTACCTAAAATCTCATTGTGCAGTTACACAAAAAGTGTAATTTGTAGCACTGAACTGCCACAAGTTAAGTGGGCACCCATCTGCTGCAACCAGGTCACACAACTCCGGAGGCACCAGCTAATGCCTGTGCAGATTTCTTAACTGACAGCAATTCACCACTAGAAGTTATGCCTTTTGTTTAACTGCACAAAAGGATGTTGACCACTGGCTAATAAAGTGCATCACAAAGGGGTCGGAGAAATCCAGATTTTGGAAATGCCACCTCTCCCGATATCACAATTCCCAGAAACCTCCCACTCCCAAATAACATGACAATGCTGCTGGGACAGACTCTGGAAATTGTAGCTTAAAGCCGTAAGATTTCCAACATCTGAAGAACTACAGCTCCAAATTCTGATTTCACGGTTTATTATTTAATTATTTCATTTTTGTTCATTATCTACTAAATGACATCCAACGCAGCGGAGGCTGCTCCGCAACCCAATGAACAACTTTGGGCCTGCCGTACTTTCTCAACCTGGCCTACCTCATAGGGTTGCGGTAAGATCAAACATGAGGTGATCTCCATACAAAGGCTCCTTGAAGAAAATGTGGGACAAAAATATAGAACAAACAAACAAACAAACGTAACACAAGCTCCTGCCATGATGCTTCCATTTCTGAATCCAGCCACTGGAATAAACTGCCTCTAGACAGGTCAGTGGTAAGCAATTTCACCACGCCCTCAGATCAGTTTTCTCCTCCAGCCATGCTTCTGGCTTCTGCTTGCAGGGGTAAAATCCCCATGCAGCCCTAAAACAAGGTGCACAAGGAGCACAGGCCTGGTTTTAGAGGAGAACTGCGCTTTCCAGAAGCTTCTAGGTATACAGATCTCCATTAATATAAAGCTTACATTCTTAGCACAAGTTTTATTATTATACCATTTTTATTTGCTTGCAGGCAACAGGCCACCATGAAGCAAAGGCCAATAGGGAGTGGGTGGGTGGTTTTCCAGCTGCTGAAAAAATGGCAGGGGCTACCTGCAATCCACCCATTATCCACCTCAGGATAGGTCAATAAATAGATGAACTCAAAATTTTTCTTACATTGATGGTCGCTTAAAATCGTTGCAACAAAATAATGTGCCAAGGCTCTGAAGTGGTCCGACTTCACTTGGGCCAGTTTTGACCAAGAATAAGGTATGTTCTCTTTAACTGGTGCTTGATTCATTGCTATATTAACGAGCATGTAAGTTTCTCCAACCTAGAAACAAAGCACAACATCCATGTATGAACCACTAACATTTAATACTGACTATTAATTAACAGTTCATGTGGCATAGACACCAAGAAAGTGTGCAGGCTATAGAGCAGTGGTCCCCAACCTTTTCTGGCCCGCAGACTGGTTGGTGGGGTGGGGTCCGTGCGTGGGGTGGGGCACCCCTGAGCTTGCAGGTGGGCAGGGCACCCATGCGTACAGGTGGTGGGCCCTGAATGGAGAGTGAGGGGGTGGGAGGGAGGTCTGTCTCCAACGGCCTGATCCTGCCACGGCCACAGACTGACATTGGGCTGCGGACCGGGGGTTGGGAACCACTGCTATAGAGGACATACACTAGAAAAGATTTTTAAAGAAACACATATTTAATTATGCAAAATAGTATTTCCTCAATGTGCATTTAATGTTAGCACAAAATCTAAGCTGAACTCTGAAGAGCAGCAAAACTCATTAAAGAAAGAAAAACATCATTCCAGTTTTAATCACTGCAGCAAAACTGGCTTATATCTAGAGATACACAAAAGGATTTTGGTCACTGGCTAATTAAGTGCATAAAATTAAGTGCAAAAATTAGAGTTTTGCTCAAGCAACACAACTTCACTGCCTATTCCTTTCTGCTACAATTTGTTCTGTTTTCCAAAGAGCCACTTGCATCCTCCAGGATGCTGTGGGATTTTTTCCAAACAGATTTCAAGATACACAAAGGACCATGCCTGCTGTTATAACATAAACTCTCGAGATACAGTATAGAAGGATTGTAATTCCCATCTGTGATCGAACCCTAGATGATTTTGCATGGTAATAGCTGGGGGAATGCAGGAGGTGAGCCTACCCGGGATAGCCTGAAGGAGAAAGAGCCAGAAGACCTGGAGAGAAGTAGTCATTTTGTAACCGAGGAAGGAGGTTGTGTATTTTGGCAGTTGGGCTGTAACTCCAGAAAAGCTTATGTTGAACTCTGTTTTCCTTATCAGCTGTTACTTTGTAATAAATAACTTATAATTTTTTCCATTCTTTAACCACTTGGTCTAGTATGTTTATGACTGGTGTCAAACCCTTTAAAAGGAAAGCTATTTAAAAAGTGGCAAGCCTGGGTAGAGGCTGGTCACATCATTTTAGCTAGCACAGCCAAACATGAACGTTCCTAAGTGTGTGAATTTATAGAGGGTCATATGTAGGGGTTCTAGAGACTCAGTTTATCTCCAGCATGCAGCAAGTAGACCATGCTTCAAGTCGTCCACTGGCCTGGTCTACCTCCAGTGCAGAGGAGGAAGACTGAGCTCCAAGTAGATAATGTCCCCAATGAACACCATAAAATGGCCGCCCAAGCATATGCACTATAACAAATCAGCACCAGAGAGAGCCACATTATGTAAGGTATTACTCTATATTTTTACCAAAGACAGAAGCTGAAACATTTTGCTTAAAGACTTCTGTTTGTTAGTCACTCTTGTAAAATGTGTGTGTGCGCGCACACACACACACACACGTGGGTGTATGTGAGCATATTATGTATTGTATGTAAAACCCATATTTCCTTTTCTAGCCTACCTTGGCAGCTTCTTGGGCCATTTTCACAAGGGTGAAGAATTCATTCCTTATTCCAGGAAGACAGATCTGCTCAAAGACACATTCCTCAGCCTGGGCAAGCATCATCTTGACCAGCACGCTCAACATGGCAGGACTCATGTCGTAACTCGGAGTATGAGTGAACGTCTCTTTTAGGTAGTTCAGAACTCCTGCAGTGCAGAAGAAAAGAATCCAACGTACGTGATATTGGCATCTTTCACAAAGGAACGTAAGAGAAAGAGATGAATTTGAAGAGCAGAGGTTGAAAAGAGTATCTTTCTGACTAAAATGTGTAGCCTGCAGCCATACTGCCAGGAGCATTTGGAGAGCTGAAGTCCAAAAAAATGACTTTTCCTTGCCCTATTGAAGAGAAACCTCCAATAGCTACATAAACTGGTTAAAGAAACTACCTGGAAGGAAGCCCCAAGCAATGTTGGCACCAGAGTCTGCAAGTACCATAAAAATCGGCAGAACCATATTAGGCAACATTCAGTTCCAAATGCAACTATTCTTTTGGAAAATGTAAACAAACACTTAATGTAACATAAATACAAAGTCACACATGAGGGAGCTGAAATCTAATCTTAAAAAATGTATCTTTCCCAACTGGTTCATTAAGTGTTATCAGTATGTTTTTATTTACCAATATTATAGAAAAAAGGTTGGAAACAGTTGGTGCCCCCTCAAGGGCACGGCCAATGTTATGGGGCAGTGTTCATTGCTTTAAATTACCTTCACTGAATTAAATCCAATTATCAGTTCCAAAAGCGGGAGATTTATTGAAACAAGGGGAATTAACACAAATGTTGGCTTTAAAAATCCCATTTATGCAATGTGTTTAGTTTAGTTAAGAATAGCAACTGAATTTAGCCCACTGCTAAAGGAAATGCATTCTATAAGTAACCTCTTACTCAAAATTCTTAACAGATTAAAGACAGCCATTGCAAACATTTTGTACAAGAGTTATTTTCAGTTTCTCAAAAAAAACACCAACTCATGACCCTTAGATAAAACTCTGCCAAACTCTCCATTTCTTCTAATCCATATACTTACAACTCATCATATGTACTTTTCTCAGGATTTCTCTCTCTCTCTCTTTCTCTCTCTCTCTCTTTTATATATATATACTGTAAATACACTAGGCTGTATTTATGGATGAAAACCATAGCAACAATCTCTATTCTGACCACAAAGAACTATGCGTATGGTATGAAGAATAATGCGTCCGGCAGTGCTATGCAATCATGCACAGAAACAATCAAAAGCATTTATCTGGAAAGGCAGACTGAAGCACATCTTTAAAAGAAATAGGCAGCTGTGGGCATGCAGGTCACCAAATAATCACAGCCAAGTAATCACAAGTACACTTTTATATTTTTTTAAATTCCAAAATTCGGTGCCAAGAAAAAGGTAAAGTCTGTGATTGGATTCTGTTCACATTATATAGCTTTTCTTTGATGTAACCCTTGGTTACTACAAATTTAGTTGCCCTGAACCTTGTTTTCCTAAGGTTTGAACTATATTTAACTCCATGCATTTTATGGTTCTCTTCATTAGCACTAGGGGCTTGTTCTCAGGAAGAAAAAGCTGAAATTTTCAAACTTCAGTATCCAGTACTAAGTTCTGTATTATCAGAATGGTGCACAAAGCACACTTTCCCCTTTGGAAAAAACATCACATTCACATCTCTTGTTCTGAGAATACAGTGGGGTCTTGACTTAAGAATGGCTTGAGTTAAGAACATTTTGACTTAAGAACCACTCTCATAGGAAAATATTGACTTGACTTAAGTACTTAGATTTGAGTTAAGAACTGAAAAAAAACCACGTGGGAGGCAGGGAAAGTGCAAAATTTGAACTTTCAGTTAACTGTTGGCCAGTGAAAAGGGTGCCTGTCTGCCTTCTCACTCCTCCCAGCGTTTAGAGAGTGGATTGGGAGACAGTCTGCAGACTGCCTGGTCCTGGACTGCCTGGACTGTATTTTCCCTGCCTTCCCTGAACCTTTCTTGACCTAAGAAAAAAAGAAACAAAATATCCCCCTCTAGTGGTCGAAGGCAGAATAGCAGCTTCCCATTAGTTTCTATGAACGGAAAAGAGCAGATACGGATCAACTGGTTTTCAATGCATTCCTATGGGAAATGCAGATTTGACTTGAGAACTTTTCGACTTGAGAACCGCCTTCCAATACGGATTAAGTTCTCAAGTCAAGACCCCACTGTATAAGAAAGCTAGGTTTGTTGGAGAATTGTGGTGGGACGGGAATGATGCTAACCAATTGTCCTCTAAGCTGCGCATGGGCATGACTCCATCTCCCTCCATGCTGCTTTCTGCCTCCTTCGTGCAGCGACTGTGCTCAGCCCCTTTGGTTCTAGTCACGACAGAACATGTAAGCAGGGGCGCGCGCAGAGTAGTACGCATGCAAGAGGCAGAGCCCCGCCCAGGAGGGCTGAAAATTAGAGGGTACACTGATGATAACAATGCTAATCCTGGACAAATAAGGTGGGAATGCTGGGACCCATGGCTGTCAAGAGAAAGCAAGATTTTCCCTTTCTCCTGTGATCTTTCCTCCCTTCGTGTGAGAGGGGAGAAAGTGAAATCTGCACCCTGAGAATATCAGTCTAGGTTGAAGGAAGGTCAGCACAGGCCACGGCAAGTAACCAGCAGTCTAGGAAACCAGAGCAGTCCTCTCTCTCCGTGCTCCTTCCAATGCAGAGACATACATCCTTTTCAGCACAAGCTGGATGGCACCTAGTCATTTCTGGCATTTTACACATAGACAGAACCGTGGAACACAGAGAATGCCCCAAATATGACCTTTTCACTAGAATCAGGTTGCACATATGAATCTGAGATATTAGTAAGGAGACAAACAGGTTCCTAGACTTGTAACAATAGTGTATTGTTGTATTAATGTTAGAAAGCCTTAAAATATGACTGTTTTAACTGCAACAACTTATACACAACTCGAGGCATTGCTGCTGGAATTGCGGTAGAGCAAGAATAGCAAAGCAAAGCAAATTTAAAAGACCACGGTTGGGAGGACAGAAATGGTTAATAAAAGATCAAAGTCATCTAAACCTCAAAACTACAGCTCATTAATCGTTAACCACAATATTCACTTTCTCTTGACAAAATGCTCTATTCAAGTATAGCCTCAGCTTAAAAAGAAGTCTGAACTAAATCTGAAAATTAACTGTTCTAATTTAAAAAGAAAACTCTGTTCAATATTCAAACACTTTGAAATTAAACAAAGACTCACATATGAAAAGTACTGTATATGACTTTGCGGAAGGGAGGCAAGGAAGAAACGCAGAAGCCGTAGAATCAAGCAGCTCTCCAAGCATTGTTCAGACCACGACACATACTATTCTTTCCTACCTGCAGCTTTCTGAAATGCATCAATTGCCTTTTGAAGTCCAGCTGGAGTTTGCCGATTGCATCTTGTACCAATCTGGGTGTAGACAGCTCCTATGTTAAATAAAATACTGGCTTTTTCAAGCGACAAATTCTTCTGACAGACAGGGACACCCGTGAAGGAATCATACCTTCATTAAAAAACAACAGCACAAAGGAAAGTTAATACACTGGAGACAATGGAGGCGGGGAAAGCATAATATTTCTGGTGTGCTGTGGTTGTTATGCAACACAGAACTACATTTAGGTACAGAAACCATAATTTGCCCAAACTGATAAACCTTAAAATAACTGGCTGCAAATCCTGGATCTCTGGCATTTTGCAAGCCATAGTCTGTTGGGTTATGTCAGTTCAGATGTTATAGCAAACCACATGTTAGTGTTTTTGAAGCCTTTGTTTAGCATCATGCCTAAACTGTAATTGTACGGTAAACACAGTGAGCGAGTGCCCATCTAACACTGACCAACTATTTTAAATGCAGACAACAGAAGATCTTAGATTTACACAATTCTCTTTGTTCTCTCCCTTCTTTTCTCAACTAATGGGATCTGCTGACCCCATTACCTGGAGGATAATTAAGGCATACAGCCATAGTTTTGAATTTGGTCCTGAGTACTGGTTCACAAAAAACTCCAATCAGCCACTACAGTGGTTGATGTACATGCTGATATAAGGCGTATTGTGCACTTCAGGGGGGGCCACTGCATCAAGGTGAAGGGGGAAAAAGAAGGAAAGTTGTGGAAAAGAACAACACAATCTCGAAACCTGCTCTGAACCTCTTAACCACCAAGAGTTTAATCAACATTAAATTTGCAACAATTCAGTGTTACTTTTTTGCACTTCAACAAACAGCCAGGCACATTCATAATCAAGACATACAATTCACTTAACTACTATGTTACATGAACTAGAATACACATTCTTTTTGCCCTCTTGAAAGCAGAACACACTTTTTTGCAATGCTCGGCTGAGCCCCTAAGAGTTTTTTGGCCAGACCACAGGTTATGCATTTCCCTTTCAGGAGCACACAGTGGCCATTTGCCAAGTCAAATGTCAAACCTAGCATATGAGGCTGTACGTAAACATCAACAGAACTGCTGGATAAACATTATTTTTAATTTTATTTGGAAAAGAGAAAATCCTCTTACCATGTAAATAAAATTCCAAGGTGCCTGTTAGGTGAAAAAAATCGGTTCTCAATAAAGCCGAGCTGAACAAAATAACTCATCAGCAACTCAACTCCAGATTCATCTCTGCTAGGAGTACGGCAGGCCTTCGAATACACAAACATGCATTAGCCATGACGCAGGAACAAGTACCCACATAAAAGGATTCTGCACCAGAAAGCAAGTATAAGCAGTGCTTTAAAAGCTACTGTGGGACCAACTTTACACACCAGGCCTCAAGAAGTACTGTATTTTTCCATTTATAACACACTCTTGTTTATAAGACATCTGCCCCACTTTTCTAACCCCCAAATTAAGAAAACTTAGCTTTTGAGGATTCAACCTCTGGGCTCAGAACATCGGACATTAGGAGTTCCTGTTGAATCTGAGCCTACAAGCTCCACCTCCAATGAGCTGTGTTCAATTGGTTTGTTCATCATCAGCTGACATCAGTTCCAAGCTAAGTCTCCTGACTGTAGGAAGCTAAGCCTCATGACTGAAGGAAGACTGTTTACAGAGGCAAGGTATGTGCCGTTTTGTTCTCTCCTCAGCTGTCTCAGCTTACTTCTGTGTATAAGACACCCCTCAATTTTTAGTGTAATGATTTTAGGAAAAAGTAGCATCTTATACATGGAAAAATATGGTAGCCTCTTAAGTAGGCAAGAGAAACATACATCATGAGAAAATATTTGCAGAATTGACATCAAAACTAAGATAGGAGGTGGCAAGGCATAATAGCAGGAACAGCCACATTATTATGCAGTGCTCAGACAAACACAGCATCGTCATCTGTGTCTGTATCCTGCTTTCAGTGTGCCACTGATAATAAAATAATACATCAAATAGGGAACAATGACCATCTACAGAGAACTAATGACTCCTAATCTCTACCAAGACCAACATACAAAGAGCTATGAGGACTTCAAGACCACAATCGGGCAAAGTTTCTTTGGGGAGGTTTCTAGGTGACACAGTAAGTGACAACAATATCATGTTGCACATTTCCTCCTGCACATATTCATTTCTATGTCTTCCTGTGTGAAAATCTGGCAGTCACATGAAGCAAAGTTTCCCCTACCCAGTTTGTATCCACCCTTCTTCTAAGAAGCTCAGTGGGGCAGAGGGGGGGGGTGTTATCCTGAAAATCAACCTGATAAGTGAGTTTAGGGGTGAAAAAAGACAGGTTGCAGGGCTCTTTAAGGATGAGTAGGGAATGATTAAATTAAACGGAAGGACAAGTATATGTAATTGTATTATTTGCCTCATGCTAGTCTTTGACCATAATAAATTCAATTCAATACAATTCAAGTATAGTATTCTTTAAACAGAACCAACTTACCTGTCGCAGGTCCATAAGATCAGCAATTTCATTTTCATATTCAGAACCATCTTCGCTGTAGTGTTCCTGAATAAAATCCTTACAAATAATATAAAAAGCAGCTCAATACGCGCTACACATACAAATCATGGATTTTTAAACCACAGCTAAATAAATATTATAAAAACCCTGAGACTTTTATTAGCAAGAACTGAACGGACCTCATGTAATTTACATTTTTTATCCCGAAATAGCATGTGCATTTGCTATTAGGTATTACTTTTACTACATTTTATCTTCCCTTACTTTTGCAAAAATAACAATACTGTATTCAAGACAAATTTCACTATAAAAAAACTTCATAAAGGCATAATGATCTATAAACATTAATCTTAAAAGGCCAGTATGAACAGCTGCGTCTTCACATCTAGTTCAAAAGAAGTGAAAGTGAAGACTTGCTGTAACTCTGGGAAGTGTGCACTCCACAATCTGGAACCAACATTAAAGGAAGTCCCCTTTCGCTTCCCTGACAAGCTGCTGATACTCTCAAGAAAGCCTCTCAACCTTTGGATGGTGTCATGACAATACAGGTGGCCTCTTAGAGAGACACTGAACGTAAGCTGCTGAGAAGCAGCCGCAGAAAGCTCCAGTCTTCACATCGTGCTTGTTGACTTCCCACAGAGACCTGACTGGCTGTTTTCTTTGCCTCTATTGAAGGCAAAAGAACACAGGGACCTATCTTGCCCAATAATTCAAGACACAGAAGGACATATGATGTGGATTATAAACATCAGACTTTGAAACAAAATAATGATTGGGAAAATCAACATAATAAACCTGGGAGATTATCCATATTTGACATTGCCGAGAGGGAGGGGCAAAAGCTAACCAAAAAACAGGCCAGTGGAGAAACACCATCTGATCTGGTGTAAATATTTGCACACCTATCTATTACATCAGCCAGAATCTTGATCAATGCCTCTAAAAATGGGAGGCCCTGTGACTTATGAAATGTGCAAAAGCAGCTTTTGGAATAAAATCCACATTAAAAGTCACAACTGCCCATCTGGCTGTGATTTCCGTTCATATTTGTTTTGAAATCTGCTGGGTGTTTTAGTTATTACATTTCTCTCACTTTTAATTGTGCCATAAAAGGATATGGGAGATTTTCATCTGTTTGCAGAGATAAAAACAGGAGCATCTTTTGTCATATCAGCAATCGCTGCCCAACTTTCAGCTACACATTGGCTGCGTTTAGGCACAGAAAAACTTTCTGGCCGCATATAGCTAGGAATGAGCTCCAATGCTAGTGTTCTGTTGACAGAACTGTATCCACTAGCAGAATTAGGAGGCTGCAATTCATCCTGCACACACTGGCCCCTTGCACTCTTGCACTCTCAAAAGCCTTTTCTAGCTCTGGAGCAGGCTTCGGGTTAAATGCTGAAGGGGGGGTTGTGCTAGTAATGTTTCATTAGACCTAGAGATTCTAATCAACATTTCAATCAAGAAACCCTGGTTAACTGCTTTGCAACAAGGAACTGTGCAATTTTTATGCTCTATAACTATGGAAGAGTCAGCTAATATCATTGTTTTTGTCTAACAAAAATGTAAAGCTTATGTTTTATTTGTAATCTGGTTTTGGAGTTTAGAGCACAAATAATTTTAAAAGTATTCTCTTAAGTATAAGAGCTAAGAAGCCACTTTAGTGAATATTCTATCTTTACAAGATTTTTCATATAAAATGCCGCAACATTCTGAGATCTACCAACTTAAGTTTTTTCCATAAAACCTAACCCCACTTTTGAACAGTTTTCCTAACTCCACACCAATACTTAGGGAAGACTTTGAAACTGTCTTTCATCCAAACAGATTACCTTTTACACAATTAAACAAGCATATATTTTTCTGCAGTTAAAACATTTCTTTTAGAATATCTTTAGAATCTACCTTCAACAGAACAGTAAAGTCAACATCTTTGGTCTCTTTTAGGCCGAGCGGTATAAGAGGAATGCTAAAAGCTTCCCTGTGTGAAAAGAAGAAATTAATAAAATTTATCCCTTAGATTTTTTTAAAAAATTCAGACATTAAAAAATAGCAACTAAAATTGAAAGTTTTAAAATAAAAGAGCAGTCTCAGCCGCAGCGTTCCTCATTTGCAAGATACTCATTGCTTTTGATCCAAGATTAAGAGATTTGATCTGATTGTCTGTAATTCCCAGAAACACTTAGCTATCAGTGGCTGTGGGAATCTTTGGAGTAGCAGTCGAAAAAACCCAAATTCTTCCAAGTTTTGTTCTGATCAACAGTTTGCAAAACTAGTTAGTCTGACCAGTTGCAAATCTCTGATCTAGAGTAAACCATCTGTATGAGAACTGGCACCTTTGTTTAAAGTACTAAATAAATATGAGGCATATTTTTAATTATTAATACTACTACTTTTACTGCCATTAGTGTTTTCATCTGTTTTGGTTAACAGGCGACTGTGAGGCACTCCTTTGATACACTATTTGTATGTCCAATAATAACAAAATGTGAGAAATATGCCCTCAAAAGTCTGAATATCTCGCAACATGTGGTACACAACCTGTTCCTTTGTCCACCACCCTCCATTTGTATCCAGCTCTGATCAGTGGCCCTCAATATTATAGCTGCATATAGATCCCATCGGCTTGAACTTTTGGCCATCTCTACAGCAGGGCACCCAGCCACAGGGCTTGGAGTGGATACAACATGGAAATGCTCCTCTAGCATCTGAAGGGGGCGGCCAGCTAAGTGGAGGGCAGGTCGTGTGTTGCCTCGTGATGTTCAGAGCAGTATTCAGCTCTTCAGGCTAAGTCAGCATGGATGACGGGGAGAACACCTGTCCCTGCGCTGATGGGTTGGCTTTAGGCATCTAGGCAATTCTCAGTAAGGTGTAGCTACAATTACCCAAGATGTGAGGCCTCACCTTTTCCCTCCAAGTGCAGGCACAAGTATTTATTGTGCTGTTTTTCTGGACTGCTTTATATGTATAGACATGGTCTAAAGGGGTGGGGTATAAATTTAATAAATAAATTAATTAATATACCCCAGAGGATTCAATTACATCATTTAGAAAGCAAATCAGTTTGATCCCCCCCCCGCATCTCCCCCCTCCAACATTGCAACAAACCAGTTCTGTGCATAGTCAGAATTTCCATTTCAAAGAAAGGAAAGATAACGTGACTTGCCCAGGGCTGTCTAGTGGGTAGAAATTCCCAGCCAAGCATCAAGTGTAACTTTCTTATGCTGACATGTGGGGGATGTGAAGGCCCTTTCAAATGTTCTTAAACCACTACCAAAGATGAGAAATGTGTATTTTTGTGGGTGGTTGGGGTGGGGTGTTAAATGAGGTTGCCAATGGCATTCTGGGCACTGCAGTACAAAAGACAAATGTTTCCTGTGTCTAACAATTCAATTCATGTAACAGGAAGAGATGGCAGAATTCTGAGTTAGAAGAATCAACAACAGCATTTTAGCTTGCAGATGACAAATGCCATTTTTTGTCAGTTGCATATTTAAAAAATTAAAACAATTTTTTGTAAGAATTAGCACAGTAGGGAGAAATGTTTTGCCCAACCCACCTTTTGCTGTACTAGTTTCCTCCATGCAATGAGGCTTTTTACATGGGAAGGTATGAAAAATACAGTTCTCCCAGTATGAGAATGGGCTGCCTCATTCCACTGCACATATAGAATAAGCCAATGTTTGCAAACAGTATGGGTAAATTACATAAGAAAACAAAGAAAGCAACGACCAGTTACCAAGAGGAAGAGCAAAGCAAGGCAAAACAACCAGTAAGGGCAGTTGAACCCACCAAGGACTCTGGCAAAGACTGGAAACATTTGGATCTCCAGATATTCTGGATTTCAGCTCCCAACTCCCTCTTGCCACAAGGTATGCTCTGTGGGGCTTCTGGAAAGCTTTGGGAATTGAAGTCAATTGGAAGTTACAAAATTCCAATTGACTACAATTGGTATTTCTAGCCTGGCCTAAAAACCTCAAAAGTAATTTACTGCTCTTCTCCCCTTTTCCTCCCTGCCCCAGCCCCATAAATGGGCAGGGAACAAACAGGCAAGCCATCAGGAACAGATTGTAAAATCTACTGTTGTTATTCTGAAGCATGTCACGCTGAGAGCAAAAACAAACAAACAAACAAGCGACTAAGCCAAACCCCTGAAACCAGAACAAACCCTTTACTTGTTGATTTAAAGCATTCACCCATGATCCATCTTTATTAAGCTGCCATGTTTGTCCACAAATTTCCATGGGCACCTGTGTTTCTGCCAGCTCAAAGATGAATGTAGAATGGAATTCATTCTCTCATTGAGACCTTGTGAAATGCCATCCTCTTGGCGAGGGTACCGCAAGGAGAGAGATGGAATAACAAGTGCCTCTTTTCTGACTGACGAGGCAGACAGCCCAATGATCAAGTGCAGGCTATGGGTCTGTTAAGATTAAATAAAGCCTAAAACGTCAGCAGCTAAACAATTAGTAAATAACTAAATTGAAAACATCATAAAGCATATCAAAAGAAGATAAGACTGTATTGGAAAAACAATAATCTTAGGGGAAAAAGAAGGCAGTGAAGAGGGAGACCTGTCATGAGATTAATTAATTCTGTAAAGGAAAACACAGTCTGTAGTCTGCAATACCTGAGGGACTGATAGGACCTTTTGGAGGTCATTAATGTATATGGCCACCATAAGGTGGAAATGACTTGACAGCATGTGACAACAACATTCCGACAAAGGCAAGAACAAGGCATATACTATGTGTGACAGAACACTATTGCATTTCAACTGAACTGCTTAGAAAGAATTAACCTATGGAGAAAGCAATTACTTTTTTCTATTACTCTTTTATAGCTTTCTCTATCTGTATATTTTAAAGTGCTTTAGTTTTTCCTTGTAGAAGAGACAGCCATGTTAGTCTGCAAGCATCAAAGGGACTTTCAGCTAACTATCTTAGTTTGGTAAAATTGCACTTCGTAAAATGAAAATACTGCTAAAATTTAATTTTTTGTTTTCGATAATTCTACTTAAGCATTCAAAACAGGAACTGGAAAAAAATACAGAGAATAATAAATGAATTTTGTAATGGAGGGAAGAGAATCAGATTAAATAAAAAGATGTGGTATTTACCACAAAAAAAGAGATTTAGAACTAGTACCGTATTTTTCGCACCATAAGACGCACTTTTAATATTAGTAAATATTATATAGTTATTCCAGATACTGTATTATAACATGAAATAAGGAAATATTATACAGTGATATAGAACCACAAGAGTTATATGAAATGGGAGAGTTACAAGAAACTTACTAGTATAAAAATAATACTATACTACTAAAAGAATAATAAAGAATGTATTAGAGAACTGGAATAAATGGAGACAAGTATTTTGTCCTAGAATATCACCTTTAATTCCAATAGTGGAGCTGGAAAGTTTTCCAAGATACGGGATAAAGGAATTGAAAAATATGTTGAAAAGAAAACACATATATAAATGAGAAGATTAGAAGGGAAAAAATGGAATAACTAAGAATTAATTTTATAGAAGAAAATTTAAATGTATTAAATTTAATGCAAAATATAGTGAGAAATTCAGATTTATACATAGGAAATTAAGAAAATTCAAAAATATTATCAAGAATATGGAGAATGTGAAGGTGGGAAAGAAGATGTTTGATGGAAGAAGAGGATCAATTTAAAAGGTTAAAAACAATATGGGAGACAGATGTTGGGAGAATAGATAAAGAGGACTGGAAGAAAATTTGGAATAAAAAGGGTTTCAACAATATGTCAATTAAAGAAAATGGGTATAAAATAATATGGAGATGGTACTTAACTCCAGTGAAACTAAATATTGCAATGCTGGATATTCTAAGAAATGTTGGACATATAAGAAATAATTGGAAACATACTTGCATTTATTGTGGAACTGAGAAGCGCTACAAAAGGTACAGTTTAAAGTTTTTAAAGAGACAGAGAAATACTGGATGTTAATATTGAAATGTCACCAAAAATAACATTCTTTTTAATAGCAAATAATGATTTGAGTAATGTAAAAAGAGAGAGAGAATAATAAATAAGACTGCTCTTTACAAAAAACTGGAAGCACAACTGGACTTCCAGTTGCATGAATAGTATAACAAAATTTGGAATATCGCAATTAATGATAGACTTTGGAAGTTAAGTTTGAAAAATGAGAGTTAAAGATAAATAGATTTAATGAAATATGAGATGAATTTATGAATGATGTATTGAAAAAGCCAAACCAAGATTATATGTATTTTGAAAAGGATATGGAGAAAGTTAAATGATGAATTAAATGTCAGATATAAGGAGGAAAAAAAATAAGTAAGGTATAATTGGGCCAGGATGAAGGAAGTACTAAGTTTTATTATTAATTTTGTACATAATTTGCGTGGAGAGAATCCAAATGTTATGTTACATTTTATTAATGTGTTTAATTAAATTTGTAATTAAATTTTTTAAAAGAGGCTATCACCCCACTGTTCACTACCCATTGACTTTCTTACCTACCAACCATGTATTTTGATATCACGTAGAAATATCTGCCATGTTATATCTCTCTCTCATGTCTGAGGGCAGATTCGTCCATGACAGTTCACACTAAAATATAACAATCTTTAATGTGCCAGCACATTTTGTCTTTTTTATTTGTTCTTTTATTTCTATTTAGTTTTTCCTTCCTTCTTTCTCTCAAACTAAATGGTTGTTCTTTCAATGTGTTGTTTTTCCTTCTCTGCTAAGGACATGATGAAATGGTGCTGCTGCAGGGAATTATACAGTGCAGGTGCCACATGTGGAGACGGGGTAGCAACAAGGCCAGCCCTACCATTGGTTAAAAGGAGCAACCCTCTCCGGCCGCAGCTCTCCAGGTACAATGAAACAGCATTGCAGTTGTTTAATATGTTGTTATTGTCCTCTTTTTTTAATCACATGGGAGAGGTACTTGGGTAGGGGTTTTTTTTGTTTGATGTATAATACTCACTTGGTTGACACTGGGTACTGCACACATTGACTTGGGTGGAAGGTGGAGAGGGTCCAATTTGATTATTTGTCTTAGAAAGAAGAGAGCCCTGGCTTTTACAGCATGGCTGGCAGACAAATGTCAGCCACTCTCCAGTCAGCTTTAGTGAGTGGTCTGGAACCCACACTCGCCAGTTAATAGCAGAGGCCTCCTCCCCTTTAGCTGCCACAAATAAAATCATGCATTCAGATTTTCCCAGCAACTGTAGCCTGTGTCAGTTTCACCTCACCTACTCCTGTCCCAAATGACAGACCTGAAATTTATCACAGGTGCCAAAATTAAAATACATTCTGATGGGGAGGGAGCAGGTGGGGTAAACTATTAAATGCAAGCAACAAAATGACTATGAAAAAGAAATGTCATTTACATTTGCCTCAGGCCTGGTATTAAAATGTTCCTGCACAAATCCACTTCCTACTTTGTTTGTCAGCTTTGGGCAGATTAAGAAGAGGGAAGAATTTGGCCTCGGCTCTCTTTGCCACTCCCCAATTCTTTTATGAGAATTAGGGATCAGAATTAATTATTTTAAATACCTTTTTGAAAGAGTAAATACCCTCCACCTAATCCTAAGACAAGAGCCAGCCCAGGGGGAGCGCTCCTTCAGTAGTCACCTACAGAAGGAATTTGTTGATCCAATTAATTAATTGTTTGTTTTCTTGGATATGTGATTTCTTTTGGGCATGTCAATAAAGGTTCTGACTGACAGTCATCTATACACTTTGTTCTATGTGTATGGACTTTGTTCGAACTTTTCCAGGGCTCTCCCTTCGCCAAACTTTCTTCTCCCAGTAGTAGCATATGGTGGGACAACAATGTGGGCCTTTTCCACTTACTCAGTGTTCTGATAGACTTCGACTGAAATATTGAGTCCTTCCAGCTCTTCCTTGAGGATCTGCAGATCTGAGTTTACGTAACTGAGTTCAAGAAGCACCTGCTCTCGCACTTTGTTGTTGGTTGTTGCTCTGACAAAGAGAAAAAGAGGTGTGTGTCTTAAGAGTGTTTTTGGGAACAGCCTACTCATAGTATAGTAGATCTGGAAAGAGTCCCTGACCGACATTCTCGACATTTCTGAAATTTCTCCCAACACCAAACTTAAGAACTGAAAACTTTGGTAGCATAATTGACTTGGCCTGCTTCCTGAAAAAAAGACAAAGAACATGAAATGGCTTTCAAAAACTTATAGGGGCTCAGTCATTTATGTAGTATTTTAAACTAAAGAATTGAACTATTTAAGTGTACAGAAGGAACATTTCCCTTCACCCTTGAAAACCCTCTTGAGCAAGCTCAAAACATAGGTGGTCTGCAAACGGAGAGTGGGGGGAGCCTCTCTAAAAATTTGGGAATGAGACCTCCCTTTCCATTCACAAGATATTACTGGGTCAGCCTCCCCCTTGCACAAAATTGAGTTTGGCATCTCAGATAAGATAACCTGAGGAACTACATAGAAAGATTATCCCCCCTACTTGCTCCCCAACATTCTTAACAGGCTTTCTAAGGGGCTGCAGATCTTGAAATGGACAGCAAAAGACAGGAAACTTTCCCTTCACAAACCTCCTTAATTTACATTACATTACCTTAGGATGCAAGTTATCTTATTTATGAAATCAATATTTTGAATGTTATCCTTGTGCCACATATTACTGTTATGATTCTAGAAGTTCTATCAAAATTCTTTTCCTAAACTGATTATTACAATACTGAAAAATGGTTATTGTCTGTTTGAAATGCATGCACACAACACACAATTGTGTACAATACACTAGATTGCATTTTTAAATTGTTGCTAATATCCAATTTGTTGTGTGCCTTAGTGCAATTTTATCATGGGTAAACATGGAATATACAGTCGTCCCCCACTTTACAATTATCCCATTTAATGACGAATCCGCTTGATGGTGAGGTTTTTGCGATCGCTTTTGCGATCGCAAAACGATGGTTTGAATGGGGGTTTTCCGCTTTGCTTCGGGAACCAATTTTTGCTTTACGACAATCAAAAACAGCTGATCATCGGGTTTCAAAATGGCCCCCCTCTGTGCTGCACAGGCACTGAAAATGGCCGCCCCATGGAGGATCTTCGCTGGACTGTGAGTTTTCAGCCCATTGGAACGCATTGAACGGGTTTCAATGCATTTCAATGGGCTTTTTTATTTCGCTTTACAACGGTTTTGCTCTACAGAGATTTCGCTGGAACAAATTAACGTTGTAAAGCGAGGCACCACTGTATATAGATTTCATCTCTTTGTTTGGAAGTACACATTTATTGCCACATTTATGTAAAAGACAGCTTTTAAAGCACAATTTCCTAAATTGGTACGGTTATAATCATCACCTAAATCTGCATGCAAAATTCCTGTGATCTATTCAGCAACATATCGGGACAAAGGGAGCAACTAGCTAGGAATCCAGGCTGCTCCAGTTAAAAAGAACAAAGGCTACATTTTGTGCCTGAGAACAGAGAAGAAGAAAAATTGTGGGAATGTACCGTAGAAGATTTTCAGCACCAGCTCTCATTCTCACTGCTTTCAGTATCTGTTGGTTGAGGACTGCTCTTTGATTTTGCAATTTGCTCCGTCCAGTCTCTGCAAGAGGGTTACAACCCTGGAGTAGAGAAAACACATTATTAATCAAACACTGATGACCTGGAATGAATGACAGCTGCAAGGAGATAAAACTGAGATCTGCTCAAATTTTGGGTTGTGTTGAGGATTGCTGAAGCAGAAGAAGTTGCCGAGATAAAACTGAGATCTGCTCAAATTTTGAGTTGTGTTGAGGATTGCTGAAGCAGAAGTTGCTCAGATCAGTATATTTCAGTGTTCTTACTAAAGAAAGGAGCAAGGAGTTGTGCCTTTGACACAACTGGTTCTCAAGATAAGACACACACCTTGCCATATTGAGTGTTCTTACTAAAGAAAGGAGCAAGGAGGAGTTGTGCCTTTGACACAACTGATTCTCAAGATAAGACACACAACCTGTCATATTCTTCTACTTTTCAATAGTTTCTACCAGTTAAATATAGCACTATGTACAAAATACTCCTATTCTATAATCAGCTGTCTTTGTTTTATTTGTTTTAAAGGTTATGCAAATAGCATTGATTTTTGGAACTGGCTCCCGAAAAGGGTTACAAATCATTTCAAAATCCACTGCAATTTGACAAATGTCTATTATAGTGAATAGAAGCAAGAAACATTAACTTTTCTGAATTCAACTCCCAGAATACTCTAGCCATTCCAGCTATACTGGGTTTTTCCCCAACAATGTTAAAAAAAAAAAAGAAGAAGCTAGAAATGTAGTGGATATAGTATCCTTAGGAAACCTGGGCTTGAATCCCTCACTCATCCATGGAAACTTTGGGGGTGGGGGTGGAACTGGTAAATATCTGTGATATAAGGACCAGCAGATGGAGACCTAAGATGCTTATTACAAAAGATTCTTCATAAATAGCATGCAAATATTAATCACTCTGAACTTCTATTTTCACATACTGTATCTTGAAAATCCTAACACATACATAGAAAAAAGTAACAATTCCCAGTTCTGAAAGTGAGCATCATACTAATTTAGATCCTCAGAGCTTCTAATTCAATATTGTGTGAATTGATTGGTACCAGTGTTCCAAAATATTGGGCAAATATTCTTGCCAGTTCTAATACACTGAAACTAAAAATAACAAGGCCTGAACTTGGACTTTCTTCATGCAAAGCAAATACTCATACATTGACCACTAAACCTTCTAAGAACGTATAACCTTCAAATAGACTGTATATAGGTTTTAGATGATTTATTCAGAGGCATGGTACAACATGTATTAAGGTATCCTAAAGCATCCTTTTGAAGAGCCCACTCATAAGACTCCTCTACAAGCGAACAGCACCCTCATATTCTAGCAGTCCTTAATTAACTAAAACAGGACCATTCACGTAGAACAGGAAGCTACCACCAGGCTTTGGACACTGTTTGCAGAAGCAAGGAACAAATTCTGAAATAAAGACCATCACAAGGATGGGTGGGGGAAGACTCACAAGTCCAACAAGAGAGGAGGAATGGACTGTTCCTGAAAAAGGGCATGACTGCCTGGTAAAAACTTTGAACAGGAACAATCTATCCCACAAAATATACTGTTGCAGATAGAATCAAAGAAATTATAGAAAAGTGAATTTGGAAGGGGCCTACAAGGCCATCAAGTCCAACCCTCTGCTCAATGCAGGATACCCACTTGTCATTCACAATTTATCAGAAACCTCTCAATGTCAGCCACACAGACTTAAAACTGGAACCCAAACCTCTGTGTATAAGCCAAATATCAAACTCTGATTTAAAACTGGTTTAAAATCCTGGCTTGTCTGGGCACAATAAACCATAATCCTAGATATGGACATAACACTAAGCTATCTATGTCTGATTTGTATATCCACCATCACAAGCAACAAAGAAGAAGAAAACAAATTGTGGATACTAGGACAGGATTCCTAGCTTAAAGTAACATGTGACTGCAGCCAGAATGTTTTTTGGTTTTAATTCCTGGGAGCCTATAGAATTTTTTCCAGAGATCCCTACCAGGATGTGATTCTTAACGGTGATCCAGCAATGCCAAGGCCTGCCACCAGTCCCAATAAGCATCTGCTCATAGCTGTCTTGTACAGTGGTAAATACAGAAATTAATGGCTTTAGTTTCTGCATTTCAAAGGCTGGATAAGATATTACTCAGAAACAAGTAGGATATATTTTTATTTTGCAGACTCTTGAGAAACATGTGGGCAACCAGCTTTTTAAAACTATTTCCTATATATGCTGTCTGGTCAAAGAAACTTAAAAATCACCACTATAAATTAACTTAGTGCATCAGCATTCAGAAAGAACATATCTGAGCAAAATATTAACCAGGTAAAAAATGGAGGACTGCTCCTCTCTTCAGTTTGCTTTTTGTAGTGAGAGAAGAATAGCAAAGTACAAGCAACTTCCAAAGCATCTAAAGCAACATCCTCTGCTATTTAAGAAAGAACAGGCCTTTCTTTAAAATAAACTGCCCCAGTTACAAACATTGCACAAGTCCATTCTGACTGACATACCAAGCCTTGTCTTTCCGTTTCTGGACATCTACTATGAAGTTACTCAAATACTGACCCTGAGGCAATGCTGGGGGATTATTGCCCAAGCTGTGTGTTTTCTCATATTCTTTCTTCATTGCTCACAAAACTGGAGTATGGTTCAGACACCTTCTCTCTATAATTTGTTCAGGGTTTAAAGTCTAATAAATTACAGCTTGGTATACCTCAATGACAAGAAAAATGGCCTAATTACCACCCCATTTTGCAACGATTTCCCTCTCAGGGAACAGAAAGTTCTAAACCTCTGCCTGAAATCAGATTTTGGCAAAGGCAGGAAATCTTGCAGAAATGGTAGGAGGACGTCTCCTAAGCTGTTCTTCATTCATTATTTAATATGAAGACTGAGCTGTGTCTCTGATATTTAATTCAGACAACATACACACCAACATTTCACAGATAAAAACAGGGCTATGTTTGCAATCATTCCATTTAAGGATGATTGGATCACTGCCTAAACCTCGTTACCCAGTTAGAACATAACCATGGTTTGGGATAATGTGACTAAACCACAGTAGTTTGTGGGCTCTTCTTCTTTTTCTCCCTCTAGCATGGAAAACTGTAAAGCTTTTGCTTCATCTTGTTAAGTGCAACTTAATACATTACCTGAGAAACAAACCACTGCTTGTTTATTTTAGATGTAGTTAGTAGGAACAAAAACTTCATGTAAAATGTAACAATGTATCTGATAAATCAAACCGTACATTTATGAATGCAAATACACTATTCTATTCTCTATCCTATGATTGCTATTGATTTATAGTACAATTATATCACAAAAGCAGCAAAACCAGGGAGCTGGATGGGGGACAGATTGTATTAGTCTCCAGTGTGGAAGGAATTGTCACTCTCGAATTGGCCTCCTCAGCCACACTAGACGTTGTTCCAAGTCCTCCATTCAGAGCACGTTACCATAGTCTCTCGAGACTGAAGGATGCCTAACTAACTATATATAAATGTCATATATCTGTATTTCCTTTTTTTAAAAAAATCTATATTTCCACTTTGAGCCACAGTTTAGAAATCTGGTTTGCCTTCCCTATCTATAGTTATTAACCACAGTGTACAGTTCAGATATGTTAAATTGCAGTTACTCTAAATACTTTAATATTACTTCTATATATGGCCATTGCTGAAATTCTGTTTCAGCTTTCCTCAACACGATGCCTTCTGGATGTTTCCGCCTGCAGTTCTCATCTGCTTCTGACAGCACAGCCAGGTGCGTTAGACATATGATTGGAATTTGAAAATGCGAATTGAGTGCTTTGAGTGCACAGTTCACAGAATATCTGTGGTCAGCATGAGAGCTGAAAAAGATTTTTCCCCCAGCTCCACACAAGATTCATTGTTTTTCCTAAGACAAGATATAATGTCTACAGACCTGAAGCAGGAGGCTGAAACATATTAAATCTAGTACTGTATCCTGTACTTTTAAAAATTTCATAAGTGTTGTCCAAAAGGAGAAAACAGGAATAGTGGCTTTACTATGGACAGGTTCCAGAAAATAAGGACTGCCCCTTCTAAACAGGGGAAGTTGAGTCCATAAAGGAGATCCAAGAACATTACATAATTATCTTCATAAAGCATCTCATTTGCCAAACTGCCTGAACAACATGTCACAATGAATTAATATTTAGTTACTCATGAGCTGAAACCATCTACTAGGGAGGCCCAACATTCAGATCTGTGGACCCGGTTCAGATGCTAATTCTAGGAGGAAAATTCGAACCCCATTACAAATCTTGTTTTCGTGCATACCACCACCTCCCCACTTTGTATCACAGGAATAGTATTTTAGAAATCTAAGACACACTGTATTAAACAGTATATGAAAAAGAAAGCAAACAAGCAAAAAAAGATAGAAACATATGGCACATTAAAGACTAACTCCACAAAATTCCCCAAAGCTCACATTAAAATATAATAGTCTTTAAGGTGCCACATGCCCTTTTTGTTTGGTTCGGTTTCTTTGGATTTTGTCTGATATGCTTGCACAGACTAACGCGGCTACCTAGTCTAAAACTACAACACAGTATGTGAACAGGGCACATTAGCAGGAGAATACATACTTTACTGGCAGAAGGCTCCATATTCAATCCCTGGCATGTCCCTTTAAAAAAGGAATAAGTGGCAGGTGATGGAGAGCACCACCACGGAGAATGTGCCAGATGGAGGGGCAAGTAATGCAACGTTGCTTGGAGCTGGCCTTAATAGTCCTGAGTTGTCAGGTATCTCTCATGTCAATGGCCCACAATCACCTGGAAATTGTTGAGGACTGGAAGAGGAGAGCTGTTTTGGGAAATGGGTGTGGTTCTCTTCCTCTTCAAAGGGGAATGTAAATGAGGGCCCAGGGCTCTAGTGGCTTACAGAATCTATTTTAATATTTGTTAAGATTCTGACATCCACAAACTAGAACCTGGTGCAAAAGATGTACACTTCTTGAATTCATGACTCCTCAGCCAAGGAATGTGTTCCAACTGAACTCCACAACTG